CCAGAAAGGTCAAGAAGTATTCTAAGGCCACACAGTAAGTTAGCAAAGTATGAGGCAGCACTCCTTTGCCTCCCACTCAACACAAAGAAGGATGGTAAAGACCACACACACACACACACACAGGCTTCTTTTACCCCCAGTCCTGGCTCCTGTTTCTGAAAACCTAAATATACTTGGCCCAGGAGATTGCTGCTGCAACGGTGATTTTCCATTCTCTCTAATACCCTCTGGCGGTTACGCTGTTGATTTTCTTCCTGGCTACACAGTTTCCTCATTCCACAAGACACACGCACGCACATACCCATCCTCAAAATCATAAAACTCCTCCTTTTTCAAAAGCAAAGGAAAAAAAAAAAAAAAAGGTGAGGCCAGAACTGAAGTGATTCAAATACAGGAACCTTGTTCGAGCGTTAAATATAACCATAACCCTACCCAGAAGCACATCTGACAAGATGGAATTTGTACTCACGGAGGATTCTTCCCCGACGATATATCACTTGCCAGTAACATTGTCATTTCTCCCACTGCTGCATAATCTTATAATGAATGCCCCAGATGAAACCCATGTACACAAGAGGGCAGACTGATGGTGCTTAAGGGACCTTTTCTGTATTGCATTGCTAACAGTTTGTTAAAGAACAGGCAAAATGTTAGACGTAGACAAATAAATGACAAGAGAAAGAAATTTTCTTTCTCTGTTTTTAATAACAATGTGGGATGGTCAACAAGTACTCTTAGATCTTATCCATCCACTGTTCTCGCCACCATTTGCATACACAGAGCATGCAGCTGAGGTACAGCACTCAGCGTGGAATCCTTTGAAACGATTTCCCTTGAACATCAAGCTTGCTTCCCTCCCAAACATCCCGTCTTCCAGCCACACGAACTACTCCTATCCTGCATTCGCACGACACACCTGAAGGTTTCCATGCGGTCCCTCTGGCCCAGGATGCCTTTTCCTCTCTACCACCCTGGCGATATCAAACCCACCCTTTGAACAAACCTGCACAATAGGACTCAGCTCATAGTAACGGTTCAATGCCTGCCTCCCTGGAAAGACGGTAAACTAAACGTGCAACCTCTGGAGCCTCCACACAGAGCGTGGGATCTGTGATTATTTGTTGAGTTCAAAGAAAAAAAAGGCTTTTAAAATACAGTTCAGTACACCTTAACTTTACTGGCTGCGGCCTACGGCTCTCCGAATATCAGAATGGTCAGAGGGAAACCGAGGCCTCTCAATGTCGAATGTTCCGGCGCGGAGCAGCCAACCAAGCCTGGTCAACACTACTGGGTCCTGCGTGGTGGCTGTAATTCAGAGGTGGGTCCTCAAGGCCAGCCTCCTGCCTCAATGTCTCCCTCTACCTGTACCTCTGCCATCTGGCTCCTCTGAAATTCACAAGACTTCATCACGCCTTAGGACCACAGTATATCTCCTCTCCAAGACCAGTTTTCACTAGTCGATGCTCAATGGCAAATTTAATAGTGTTTTCCTGTTCCAATCTCTTACCCCTCGGCTAGACTGCACCTGTGAGAATCAATCTATAAAGCCTTAATAGCCGAAATAAAGCTTTATGCTGACCATTTTCCCTAGACCACAACAATCGCTCCCCTCAAACCACCTAAATAAGCACTAAACACAGGGGTAAATGATCAAAACCACCGTCGAGCAGGCCCCAGAGTTCAGGGAGATAGAATAACTCATGCAGGTTCACAGGTTCCAAACGCAGAGTCTAATTCCACATGTCCACAAGCTGGGATGGGTCTTCAAACCCCACTAAGACCTAAATCTTGGCAACATTTGTCCTTTTTCGTGCCAATATTCTAAACTGGATCATCTCTTCTTGGACTCTACCTCTTGCCTGTCCTGTCTGCCCACCTCTGGAATCAGCTTTGATGAGCCCTGGCCACTGTGGATAAGGTGAGCCTGGGCAATGGGGCTTTGTTCTTCAGCAAAATAGAATTATCTTCCAGTACTGCAGAAGGAACGCTAGACATGAATGATGCAATACTGTTGACCATGCAAACCTGGACATTAACTACGTCCTACTGTTAGCAGTGTAACTGCATTATCAAATGTCATGGTACATCTGTAGACAGGTGATACTTGGAAACCACGCCGGGTTTAGCAAAACCCACCCACACACAGTGGAAAATCAACATATAACTTTTGACTGGACAGTGGGCGGTTTGCATCCGCAGATTCAACCTATGGCAGATGGGAAAGTTATTTTTGATCCGCTGTCGGGGAATCTGTGGTTGGGAATGTGAAGATACTGTTTCCCATCAGGGTTTGATGAACCCCAGAATTCATCAGGATAGGAAATGCCGACTGTATTTCCTGAAAGAAAAAAAAATGTGCACATAGGGGCACCCACACAGTCCAAACCCTGTTGTCCAAGGGTCAGCTGTAAATATAAGGAACGTCCTTCTAAGAGGATGCTAGTGAGAAACTGCATGTTTAGTGGGGTCAAATCTGGAAACCATCTAGAATGGAGGAAACCTGGTTTTATGAAACCTGCTGAGATGCACGGTCCAAAATCCAAAAAGGGGACTTTTGATTACCAACTCTCAGGGAACTTCAAGTCAGCATGGTCTAAGGCCCAAAGAATAGAGTTGGCAGGAGGGTCTGTCTCCCAAAAAGGCATAGTGCTCACTGCCTAGCCAGTGTGACTCAGTGGTTGAGCGTCAACCTATGAACCAGGAGGCGGTGGTTTGATGAGTGTGCAGGAGGCAGCCGATCAATGATTCTCATCACTGATGTTTCTATCTCTCTCTCTTCCTCTCCCTTCCCTCTGAAATCAATAAAAATATACATTTTTAATTGTATAGCGCTCATATACTTGCAGATGATATCTTAAGTTTTTCATTCTCACCCAACACAGTAACCCTTGGCAGGTCCCCTGTTCTGAGTTGTCCAGAGGACACTTTCGATGTGAGCAGGCCCATCGCCAAGTACTGGGAACCCACTCATCAATGCGAGCATGCACTGGGTACCAAAACACTGGCTGCACCAGTTCTACAGGTAAAGCGCAGCTCTTTGCTACATGGGCCCTTGGGTTTCCTTCCCTGGTGGCAGAACAGAAAGCTGGTCCCCCTAGCATCCTGCCACTGGAGGTGGCTTCCGATGGGAGACACTCCTCACGCTGGATCCAGTTTACAGCACAAGCTCGGGAACCCGGAACCAAACCTCCGCCGCCACCGTCCCCAGGGCCTACGATGAGTTGAAAACCTTTTATTTCATTGCGGAGGCCCTTCTAGTTATGGTTGAAAAGTCAAAGGAATCTGCATCCTCTCATATCAAAAAGTTAACCCACAACCTGGCCTGCTGCACTAAGCGAAGGCAGCCCACACTTGGTTAGCGATGATTTCCGCTGCTGGAGAGAGACTGATCTTGGAAAACCTCTCTATCCTACTTGCGGGGGGAGGGGGTGGGGGGGGGTTCCTTTCCCCGCCACTCTTGAACACCCACTAAGATCTCAATCTTGGCGGCTTTTGCCTCGCTAACCCAGTTCGCTTTCTTCCCGGTATGGAATGAGGAGGGCCAGGCTGGAGAAAGGTGTGTTCTCCTGAAAGCAGGTTTCACTGAAGTGAAGTGCTCTCGAAGCATAAAGGCACACTAAGAGACGTGTGAAACCTCACAGCCGGGTGGAGGGCTCCGCATGCCTGTGAGTCATTCATTCATGTCACCCACCTGTGCGAGACCAGACACGAAAACCACCCCTTGTCCCTTTCCTAATTTAGAACCTGCCCTTACCTTAAGCCTAAGAAAGCTGGCTCCCGAGGTGGGAAGACAGGAGAGCTGAGGAACATTAACCCAGGGTGACAGCCTCTACCAGTGAATAAGCGCTTTGGGTTCCCACCGTGTCACAGAGCGGCATCAGCAGTAGGTGAGGTGGAAGCCCCACCTGCCTGTGCCCCCCTCACCCCCAGTCCCCATAAAGGAAGCCAGAGCCTGCGCTCTCTTGGGGCACTTACATAAGACCCTGTGAAAACTTCCTGTGACATTCACAGAAAATGTAAGCAGCTATTTTGCCCCCCCCACCCCCAGCGGATCATTTTAATGGACTGAGTGACAAAATTCCCGGATTTGGAATTCAGCAGACCACTGAGGTACATCATCAGCTCAGGGACAGAAAAAAATCCCCACGAAACAGGGTCACTGGGGGGAATGGGGGGGGTGGGGGGGGTAGACTCAATGTCAGAGAGACAATCTGTTCCTCCGAGGTGACCCATTTACAATCAGACTGTTCCAGGGGGAAGCTCGTCGGTGTAACAAATTTCAAACAGGCAAGACAGGCTTTGCAGAACTGAGGCTCCTTAAAGAGAGCGTGAAAAGAAGGTAAGAAGGCGATGAAGAAAATAAGGATGCAAACTTTGGAGCCAGGCGCTCCACCTTCAGAAGCAGTGACATTCCCCAGACTGCCTGGGTCGCTACAGGCTGATCACTCATCACAAGCAGCCTGGTGACACTCTGGTTGGGTTTCCTCTCCACAGACATCGCTCCCACCCAACCACTCTGTCCTATAGAGGGACTCGCTAGCTGTGGCTGCTCACCCCAAATCCGCCTCCACTCTCTGCAACAAGGAACAACGAAAAGTTCTTCCCAGCCTCAGGAAAAGGCAGGTGGGGATCGTCCAGGAGGGATCGCTCCAAACACAGAAGGCCCCCCCCCGACCCCCCAAAGCACAGGGGGTTAGGGTTGAGGGGTGCAGACACATCCCCTCCTGTTGCTAACGGGAATTTTCTTGCTGGCTCCCTGTTAACAGACCGTGTGCCTAGAAGACTGGCAGGCCCTGGGACGGGTCCTGGGGACAAGAGTCTAAGAGTCTGGGACTTGCACTTGCAACCTCCGCAGGGCTCTGGGCCCAGGCAGCGGAGGGTGTGACCACACGCCCTCTCTCTGCGCCAGTACAGGGGGTACCAGCTACAGGTTCGGAGAACTTGTCCAGCGCCGCTCACCGGGCGCCCCGTGGCGGCTCTCTGGCACCCCGGGCACTTACCTTGGCCGTGCCCGCTGCCAGGCAGAGAGAGACCGCGAAAGAGCTGTGTGGCGCGGCGGCGCCGCCTAGGAGGCGCAGGGGGTCCGGGTCGGGGTT